CTCCCAGATATATACCCCTATCAGCCTCTGTTGGGCACCAGCAGGTCCCCAAATCACAGCTCCTGCAAGTCCCTCCCCCACATACCTCTATCACCCCCCCACATACATTTTGGGGAGCTTCCCCCAATACCCTGTATTATGGGGGGGCCATCACCCCCCTTTCTGCCCTTCCCCAGTACCCCCATAACCCCCTCCTGGGTGGGGAAGTACCTCTATCATCCCCCCCTTTGTAGCACCCCCCACACCTCCTACTTCGAAGGCCTACACACTCATCAACTGCTAGCCCCCTATCCACACCCCTACTACCCCCTACCTCTGAGGGGACCCCCCCACCAAAAGCCCTATCACTTCGTTTTGCCCACACCCAAATACCACACCCCTTGTGCTCCGCAAAATACTTTGGCACCTGCCTTTACCCCCAAATATGCCCCCTCACCAGCCCCTCCCCACAATTGCTTTTACGCCCCAGCCTCCCTCCTCCCCTTCCAGACGGGGAGAGACCCCAGGTGTCCAGGCCCCCAGGCAAACCGCCCCCCAGGTTAGTACTGTATGTTTTTAAACCCACACCATTAACAAATAAAAAAAAAGGGAAAACGGCAGCAGGGCCCTGAGCCCTGGGGTCTTTGCGGGGGGCGGGCTAGGAGCGCAGATGTCGGCCTTGCCCCACACCGCACCGCGATGGCTCAGGTTTCCCATTCTGTACGAGGACAACGGGCAGCCTGCAAGGGGCACCAGGGCCTTCCTTAGCTGTGGACTGCAGGATGGACCCCCCTCCCTGCCCAGAAAACACAGGGGTGGGGGCAGCCTGCGGGGCCGGTTGCACAGGTGGGTCCTGCTTTTCTGGTCTGGCCACATAACAGGTGGGGGCAATTAACCCCTCCCCAGCTTCCAAGGTACCTGCTAGACAGGATCCACAGGCCTGAGGGAAGGGAGCCAGGACATCTGGGTCCTCTAGCAGGGAAGAGGGAAGAGACATGGGAGGCCTGGGCCCCCTATGGCTTTGCGGGGTGGGACGGTGGGAGAAGGATGTTGAGCACCAGGACACCTGGGTGGGGGTGGCAGGGTGGGATGCCTGGGTCCATGTGGAGAAGGGGAAGGGGTGGGTGAGCAAGGGAGTGGGGCTGGGACGCAGACACCTGCGCTGCCCCTGGCTGTGAAGCCCGGGGGGGGCGGTGAGGAAGATGGGGGTAGGGGGCCCCGGATGCCTGGGTCGCCCCCCACAGACCACACCGGAAGGGCAGCTTCGGTTCAGGGCTTTAATTCCACGTCACACGGAAACAGGAGGTGGGGGGAGGGGGTGTCAATGCAGCCCCCGAGGCTCAGTAGCCCCCTGGGGAGGGCGGGGAGAGGTCACAGCGTGGTGTAGTGGTACATGCCCAACAGCATCACGGGGCACTGGTGGGGGAAAAGACATGTGTGAGACAACCCGCTCCCCGTAGAAAACCCAGGCAGCCCCCCCAGAACGCAGGTGGCCGGGCTCTCACCGCAGGACAGGGCCAGAGCGGCCCAGGGGCCGGAGTGGGGAGAACCCAGATGTCCGAGCTCCCAGCCCCCACCCTCTGCTCCTCTCTTCCCACCCCCGTGGCTGCCCTCCCAGCCCCTTTTCTGCCCCCAGAGCTAGAGAGCCCCCAGGCGTCCACGCCCTGCTCTCACCCCCCAGCCCTCCTTCGCTCCCAGAGACCCCAGGCATCCAAGCCCCCCCACTCCCTGCCAGCATGAGGATGGCGAAGCCGAACCAGGAGATGCCCCACGTGTAGCTGTTCACCGCGTTCTCGATGTGTTCAAAGCAGCCCTGGGGTGACAGACCCGTTATCGTGGGGTGGCCCCGAGAGCTGGGTTCCCTGGGAGCGGGGTGGAGGCTGGGGGCCCTGACACCTGGGCTCCCTCTGGCTCCCAGCTGCTTAGCGGGGCAATGAGGGTGATCGAAAGCCCTGGGGTCAGGACACCTGAGTTCACTCCCACATTTGGGACAGGCTGGGGTGGGGGGGCTGCCAGTCAGGAATGAGGGGCACTGTGGATATAAGGCAGGGGCTATGGTTTGGGGGTGAGCGCAAGGGGCACCCCGCTCCCCCCCACACCTTGGTGTTGACGTAGTCCACGTGCCCGACGCGGCAGCCCTCTTGGTTGAGGATGACGAAGTTGGGGTCACGGCGACAGCAGAGGAAGGGCCACGGCGCAGCCACCTCAGGGAACCGGGCCCTGAAGACCGACGTGTTGTTCACCCAGTCCAGGGGCCCTGACGTGCCGCAGCACTGTTGCTGCAGGGGGGGCAAGCAAGGGCTTAAATCCAGCAAGGACCAGGACGCCCATCTCCCACATTTGAGGTCTACTTCCCCCCCTAAATTAAAGTTGGGCCTACAAGGAAGGGGATCCCTTAGAGGGGGTTTGGGGGTTCCTGGGGGAAGCAGGTGATCTCCAGGAGGGATCTGGGGTCCCCACCTCCATCATGATGCGGTCCCACATGCGTGTGAGCTCGCGGCCCTGGCGTGATGGCGCCGCGTAGAACGACAGCATCTGCTTGGTCACAAGCCGCGGGTTTGACACCACCTGGGGGAACAAGGGGGTGAGAACCCTGACATCTGCCCCCCCAGCCCCCCTCTGGGAGCCCTGGTGCACTCACAAAGTCGCGGTGTGTGTAGGACGTGATGCACGAGGCCGACTCAAAGATGTAGACGATGACCATCAGTGCCAGGTACTGCGGGGGGGGGGGGCCGGCGTGAGACCCCCCTAGGAAGGGGGGGCAGGACCCCTCAAACACA